ATATCTTCCACAGTCTTGCAAATTTTCACTAGATATTTTCAGATTATATTTTAAAAGAGTCATATATTAGCAAATTTAACAAAAGCAAATAAATCTTTTTCTTTTAACCGAGATGATTTCACAATGCAATGAAAATAAATTTATTTGTTCAAGTGATTTGTCTTGGCACATCGGATCGTTCTTAAGCTAGGGAATGTTATAAAAACAGTTTACAATACTTTGTGTGGCCTTGGCCGCTTTAGAAATCCGTTTCGGGGCTTTGTGGTCTGGCGTCATCAGGTTGACCTTGATGGCTGGGCTGCAGTTCTCTGATAATTGGCGAGCTCTCCTCCTGAGCTTGAGGTTGGACCAGTGGGAGCACTGTTTGGACCTGCGGTTGAACATGTGCCTGTGGTTGGGTGACCACCACGTCGTCGGTGTCAACTGTATCCCGACCCCTGTCGGCCTCCTGCTTGGGGGGATTAAAGGACTTCAGGTTGCCCAACTGGCTGCGAACGTCCGACTCGGAGAGAAGATGCAATGGAACATTAGCTGGGACAGCCATCCGCTTGGGACTGGTGCTGCCGTCATCTGGCTTGCGTCTATCGGGTGGGAACACCACCTGTGCGTAGGTCACTCCATTCTCGCCGGGCTCCACAATGCTCTGAGCTCCGCCTGACGAGGTCGTCACCGAACTGGGATTCCTGAAGACGGCAGCCTGTGTTTGGGGTAGTTCTGCCGGAGCATTCCTGCGTTGCATGGGCGATGAAGTGGTCGTGGTCGTCACGGGACTTCCTCCACGTGGAGCACTCGGTGACGTAGTCGTATCCTCATGCGGAATCGGTGCATATAGAGATGGAGTGTAATTGGTGTCCGTCACCTTGCAATTGTATAGATTCAATCCCTTGGCGAAGATGTACACGAGAATGTCGAAGAGCACACTGGCCAGGATCAACGAGGCCGTCAGGATATCCAGGATGTTGCCATGCTTGGGCGTCTCCCGCAGCAGACAGCGCTCGTAGTTGGGAGCCCAATAGACGCAGGTGGAACCTGTGCAGGAAGATTGAATCGGGATTAGTTCGAGTACCATTAATTCCCCTTGATGATTTGGAGAATAAATAAATTAAATAGTTATAAATAAAGACATAAGTGTTATTAAAAAGGTGTGCTAAAAAAAATATGACTTCGAAAATTTAAAAAAAAATTAAAATTCAATTCAAAAACTGTAACTTCTCTAATTTTTTTTATATTAATTTGGAAATAGTAATTGCTTAGTAATTTAATAATTAACATATGCGCATATATTTAAATACTTCGATGTCTTAAAGAATATTTAATTTTGGCTATAGCTGCAAGGGTATATTAACCTCGGCTTGCCGATGCCGAGAAAGGATTAGTGTCATTTCTTCCTTTGTTCTTTGAATGTATTTTTTCTAAGATTTCAGTGGTGGGATAAAACCCTTGAATTTCGGCACTTACGCGTTACAATGTCGTAGCTTAGATGCACCGGCACATAGGCGAACAGTCCCACGATCATCACCTCGAAGGCCAGGGCTAAGGACTTGTCCTGCGGCAGGACAGCGCGCAGGGTGATCAACGTCTTACCGATGGTGCCAACGCCCAGCAGGAAGGCCGCCGAGATGCTCATGATCTGGAAGATGATGATGGCCGACTGGCAGCTGTCGGCGCTGCAAGCGCCCGCGGTGGCTCTCATCTGGCCGGTGGCGTTCAGCGACTGGTCGCCGCTGCAGCTGCAGCCCTCGAAGAGCTGGAAGCTGTTGATGGACGTCTGCCTGGTGCAGCCCGCGTAGCAGGGCGAGAAGTAGGTGACGGAGCCGCTCTCCGGACAGACGGGCATGAAGGCGGTGGGCGTGCACAGGCACTGGCTGGAGCAGTAGGGCTGCTTCAACTTGCCACCCTCCACGCCGGCAATGGCGCCCACGTCGCACTGGACGAAGATCAGGCCCACGAAGATGGCCACCAGATGGATGCCGAGGGCCACATTGATGCCGGTGATTTTGCGCGCGGATAGCTTAGCCTTCGAGATGACCAGGCCACTGATCAGCATTCCCACCGCCATCACTGGCGGCTTGAGGAAGTAGGAGACGAACGCCGACCTCCACTCGGCCGTCAATCCATCCTGTTCGTTGTAGGGCAGGAAGAACCTGCTCTGCAGGTAGCTCTCCTCCTGCAGGCCATAGTTCACCACCGCACTCTGCACACACATCAGGCTCAGCAGGTTGAACATGAGCAGGCGGTTGTTGAAGAGCCGCCTCAGCGAGGGCCAGAAATCGGCATCATCCAGGTAGGTGGAAAACTGGCTGCCAAATTGGCGCATATTCGACTGCTCGATGATCCGCTGGGCAGCTTGGTGGATGACCGTCTTGGGCAGCCGCTTGGGAAACAGTCCCAGCAGCACGGCACCCACGAAGATGAAGGGCGCCAGTATCACCCAGCCGAGCCACCAGCCCACGTGGGTCAGACCCACTCCCAGGACCAAGAAGGAGCCAGCCTGCTGACCAAAGACGCGGGCTGCCAAAGTGGCCGCTATCACCGCCGGACTGTCCTGCGACAGGGAGTTGTCGTCGATGTAGCTGACCCCCAGCGTGTAGTAGGCCAGCCCGCCCATGCCCAGGGCCAACTGCAGGACGAAGAGCATGGCCAGGGTGAGGCTGCTGCTCTGGGATTCGGTCAGCGTCAACTTCTGGAACTGCGCCAGCGACGTGGCGCACAGATTGGCATCCAGCAGGGTGTCCCTCGCCTTGCTGCCCTCGGAACTGGAAAAATTTGTTGAAAATTAGGAAAGGTAGACGAAAACTAAAAAATTAAAATGGAAAGACTACATATAAATTCCTGTACCCAATTAAGTACTAAAAAAGGAAATTTGAAAGACTAAGAAAAAAAACAAACGCACTTTAAGGACTACATATAAGTTTTAGTATCCAATTAAATACGAAAATAATTAATTTAGAAGTTGGAAGATTGAGAACTTTTAGAAATCACTTTTCAACAAGTGTATTTTCTTTTTAAAATACTGAACAACTAATAATATAAATATTTTTAAATATTTCTTTGATAATTTAAAGTATAAATAAGTTTCATGTAATAATATTGTGCTATAAAAAAGTATGCCTTATTTAAACCTTCTTGTTAAAAACGGAAAAATAAAAAACAAATTTAAAAAAAAATGTAAACTTTTTTGTAGGATTAATATTAATATGCTTATTTATTAGGAACTATGTTTCTAATGAACTATATTTTAAATGGCACTTGTACCACTTAAATTATAAATCTAAAAACAAATTAATTTTTTTTTGTTGTTCTGTTCTAAAATATATTTCATTGAACAAAATATTTGAATTCTGTCTTGCTTTAGTCTTGTTTACTTTTGCAAATTACTCACAAGCTTATAATAGATGGAATCACGGCCACCACGCAGGTGACTGACTGCAGCATTAAAGTTCCCACCAGCCACTTGATTGGATGAAAGACGTCCGCCCAGTAGGCAAAGGCCAAAGCAAAGACAGTCTGGAAGCATCCACTGGCCACCAGCAGCCAATCTGTGGGTTTAAAATACAAAATATATAAAAATGTTTTAAAATGTTTTGGTGTGTCTATCTAACCCATTCACTGAGGGCGATGGTATTTCTATATCTAAAGTCAAACTTTATTTGAGGGAAAGCCACTTCCGTCAAGAAATATTTTTGTTTTCTTTATCAAGGAAAAAAACTTGCTTAATACGTCCTAACTTTTTGTACGATTACGCATTGCCTTTCTGTCTGAACGATGACGAATTTTTATTACCCACCTATACAGCATTACAAACAATTTATTGAGATAAAGGTAAGGTAAGGGGATAATTATATGTGCGCCATGGTTATAAATCAAATAAATTGTTAATACATGTTGTAAATATAATGTCAGAATGCAAGTGCATTGTTTCATAAAGTTACTAAATTTTATGGTAAATATATCTATTGTATATAAATAATTATATTTTACATTTTCAATGGGCATTCCAAACTGAAGGGAAGTGGTGGAAAAAAAGAGAGCGCATGGGCATTCGTCAACAATATCGCAAAACTGATAACTGAACTGAAATCTCCACGTAGAACCGGGCCAACACCTCAATTATCTTTCCCCGGTCATGTTGGCATTTTCCCGTTTCTGCGATAATGCGGCTTACTCACCCACTAGCAGCGGACTGTAGCCGAACTGGGAGGCGGCCTGTTTGGCCGAAACGCGGAAGTAGGATTCGCAGGCGCCCTGGAGCGTGCCCGAGATGGCCAGGACCAGGACGAAGGTGCGCAGGCGGGCGTATTTCTGGCATCCGGGACCACGGCACCAGCCCAGCCCCTTGATCCCGCAATCGACGCTGTCTGGATGGGGTAAAAAAAAAACTCAATAAGTACGAAATCTTGCTGCTTTTTTAGGTCACCCACCATCGGGTATATTGTTGGCATTGACTGCTATCTGCGATAAATCGGAGTTGCGCGTATTTTGCGCCATATTCGTATTCGATTTCGGATTCGGTTGTGTTCACTTCACTTCACGTCACTCGCTTGTTGTATTGGTTATTGATTACTTTAGTTAGTGGCCCAGGGTCGATGGCATCTTAGCCGCGTTAAGACCACGCCAATGTCTATTCGAAAAGAGGAACGGGAGCCAACTGAGGAGCTGCAAATGGCCAGAACCGATTCCCTATCTTTGCTGCCTGATAAGCCAGTTCTTATCTTATCACCATTAAGTTTTTTGTTTCGTTCTTAATTGCAACTTTATTGCCGCCTCTTACGCATGATCGTGGGCAACATGTTGGCACTACAAGTGCCTCAACATTGCTTGGCAAGTTAGATCGTAATTATGAAAGAAAGAAATGGAACATTTCTCTTAACCAAGGTAAGTTATTTTTTTATTTTTGTTAAATATTATAAAATTTGTTTGTATATTATATTAACCATGAACATGTTAAATGCTTTCAAATCTCCAGAGAAATCCATGAAATATCTGTTTAATATAACCTCTTGGGTATACAATTAAGTTAATTAATTAAATAAGCGGGTTTAAATATTATATATCACTGAATATTTAATTTACAAATTAATGTCCATCACCCAAATTATTTTTCTCACCAATGATTTTCACTAATACGTACTGTTGCCTTTAATCAAAAGATTAATTCAACCTGACACTACATGTCGTATTAGGCAACGCCTAAAACTTAAGAAAAAATAATTTTTGGTTTTCGTAACATTTTTACCAACAAACACTTGAACTCAAGCGGCCAAACAATAGAATAATAAATAGAAAGCAAGCCTGAATTTTGTTTCAAAAATAAGTCCTACAAAGTCATATAAAATAACTACTTTGAATTTAATGAGGTCAAGAGCAAGGTTCAACATGAATTGCCTAGTAAGTCTTATATTGGTAATTAATTGTTACTTGGTCACCGCTAAAGTGACGAGTTCACCTCCAGTGCTAATCTGGGGCACAGAAACGTAAGTATATGGCAAACAATAGAAGTATTTCATCAAGACTTGTTTTTTCAGTCCGAAGCCTACGAGTATTTTTCGCCCTTTTAAATCCGATCAATTTTACGAAATAATACAAAATTTGCAAAAGGACAACATGATAGTGATTTACCTAGCGTCTGAGGTAATCTCTCAAGCAGCTATATAAAATTAATTTTGAGTTCTAAGCGCCTTACCAATTTAGCTAGCCGCTAAGGACATAAACTGCGACGTGTGCTTTCCCTACTTGAGCAAGATCCAACCCATGAACTACTACAGCCAGGTGGAAGAGCCACTGATGGCCGTGGAGCGGGTCAGTGGGACGACCAAAGAGATAATCTGGCACAACCCCATAATCACGGAAATAAAAAGGCTGGAGCTGGAAATGGAGCTGCCTTGTGAAAAGGGCCAAATACACGCCTTCAGATTTAAGGATCGAAATGTGCTTGCTCATGGTTGGTTTAAATTGATTTATAAGCCCATTTAGCTTTATTTCAAGATTCAAAGTTTTTAATTTATAATTTTCAATTTATATTTATATTTTAGATTTAAATTACTCCATTTAACAAAGTGTAAATTGGTTCTTAATTTCAGAAAACTATTTTATCTCATTATTTTATTTTTTTTAATAATTCCAGATGCAGCCATGGCGGTGGCAACCTATCAGTTTACTGACTGTCCAGTGGTGCACCTGTACACTGCTTTCACAGAGGAAGACCGGGCCTTTCAGCGTCGTAAGGCCCAAAAGACGCGTCCCGTGCCCATCCAAATGGATCCGTCGAAGAGCATCGGTCCACCAACGGATCAAAATGATATCGCATCGGGTCACGAACTGCAGAGTTACACATACACCGTTGTTGATAACATGACCTTGCTGCGCCACGACATGCTCATCCTATCGTTTCAGTACATTCTGTTGGCCAGGATGGAGCGACAGGGGCCACAGGCCTACTTTAACCGGACTAACGTGACCCTGCCCGTTGGCAAGGAGGAAGTGCAGATGGGATTGCTCAACGGCCGCGACATTTACGGGGGCGTCGTTGTGGTTCTCGACACAAACATCAGTCCCCTGATCATTGAGTTGATGCCATCGCAGGGAAACTGGCACTTCACCCGCATCATCTTCGGCAGCAACATCACCTACTATCCGCGCGACCTCGTCTTCTTCGGTTTCGACTTCAGCCTTTGCTGCCCGGACATCACAGCCTTTGCCGCGGACGCCTCGCGGCTGACCATCTTCGACTTTCGCCTGGATATCCTTTGGCAGGGTAAGTGTCATAAGGGGATCCATATGTCCTCAGTCTGCTCAGGGAACTAAGACCATACAATAAGAGGTGCCACAGAAAGCTCTTTCTTTCTATTAAACCCCAACTGGCCATCTCTTGAACTTTTTATTTTTATACAAAATTTAATAATATGAAAAATGTACTATTCAAGATCTTAAGGACCCAAAATATTGTGGAGGGTCCACAAAGATTTGAAAACAATTTTTATGCAAATTTAAGAAAGCTAAGAATTTATTAGTTTAGTGTGCAAATTATAAAACACCAACAGGACATTTATTTTAAAATCGTTGCGACCAATAACCAATTCGAATTTTAAAATAATAAATTCTAAAATTTAATTTCAAATAAGTTAAGAAACCTATTAAAGGTAAGGGAAGATTTTTAAAATTCATACAAAATACTTATCATTCGTGACAAATTAAAACAAAAGACATCTTAACTTTTACAAAATGATGAATAATATAAAAAAATAACATTTCTTTATATATTTTTAGATTCCAAATCTCTCGTTTAAATTTTTAAAGATTGATAACATTTGATATACGGTTGAAAACTTTATTACCTGTGATATGGCTTTGAATCATACAAGATAAAAATATTTGTGTCTTTTTGCAGATGACGAAAATGGCATGGACATGGGCTACGAGGTGAAGCCGTGCTGGGGCTGTGCCGTATTTATGACTCCGGCCCTGACCCAAACCCTGTTCGTGATGCTGGTCATAGCCCTGATACTCTGGATCGGCCTGGCGATGATACTCTCGATCGGACAGAACAAGTTCCCCCAGGTCGCCGGCGAAACTGACCTGCACATCAAGACGGACATCTAGACGGAACTGTGGTGGCGACCCTCGCCACGCTCTTTGATGCACATGCGGCACAGTCTACACATATTCTGCTAATTCACTTGCTTACAATTCTAATCGCGTGGGGTCGCGGATGGTGTGGGGCAAGGGGGGATATTTAGAGATCGTAATAATAATGTCATTGTCGCGTTCCTTTATTGTCTGTTTTGTATTGTCATTGCGATTCCGCCTGAACTCTCCAACTGGGCTGCTCTCCACGGGGAAAACAAAGAGGTCACCGATAAGCCATAGGTTTTGCTGAGATATGCCCCAAAAATTTTGATTTGCACGTGGGGTGAGCGATGAGAGAACCGACTGTTCCCGCCCTCGTCTTTATGGCCTGATAAAGCTTTATCAGGCTTCGATTGGCACCGAGCGGACACGGCGAGCTGCCTGGGAATTTGAAATTTCGTTTCTCAGTTTTACTCGCGCCTCGATTCGCAACGGATCGGCTATAACTATCTCCGCCCATTCGTTCACCTGCGCGTTGCATCGGGACTAGTTCCTAGTTCCTGGCGAAAGGAACTCGAACGGCAATTTAATTAATCGCACAAGTGCCGATTAGATTGCACGGTAAACTAGACAAGTGTGGTCACCATTTGGCAATTGATAATATGCGCATTGTGTAGGCCACTCTTCACTCTTCACTCGACTACTCGACTCTCAAAACGTACGTACACCTGTCTGGTAATCTGATTGTGGCCGCTATCTAGGCGGCATTCGTCGTTCGACATTGGGGTAGTTCGTCATGCGGAAGGAACCTCACTAAAAACACTCAATGTGTGATCGAAATTTGCAGTGATCTTTAGATCTCTAGAGCCACTTTTGAATAAGGAACCTTTTTACACATTTAAAGTCCGTCGGATTGGAATCACATCACCATTGTTCGTAGCCAACTAAAGTCAGTATACTTTAGTTCAGGCACATGGATACCTTTGAAAAACATTAAACAACTTGAAAGCCTTAAACTTTTTTTTTCTAACTAAAAAATCACTTTAACATTTAAAATCGAAATGCTGATAAGGCTTCTGCACAACAAACTTTTTTTGTTAACATACTCAAAGTAAATGGAAAGCAGTCTTCGAATAAAATAGCCATGAAATTGTCTGAGTCACAAAAAATGTACTTTTTATTCAATAACGTGATAAGCAAAGAATTACATTTCCGAACATTAATTCTCACATCAGTTCGTTGTGGTATATCAGTCTAAATTCATTAAACTGATTTCGGTTAATGGTTGTTGGTTGAAATAAACACTAAATGCCGTAATTATGATTGATAAGCATAGTAATAGAATTTTAGACTTAGAGTTTAAAGGTCGCTTTTTCTCTTCCTAATTTTTTTTGGCAAGTCTTAGTGATCGTTTACGCATCTGGGCTATAAAGAAGATCCTGCCAGAAGTCTCTACTGATTTGTCCCCCTTTTAAATTAGCCATAACAAGATAAGGAATTGATTTGGATGATTTGGATGATTTGGCTGGTGGTCTGATCATTTAATGACAGATGTAGTAGTGGTCATCGTTATGCGGTAATTATAGTTGTTTATAAATGCTTCTCTGACCATATAGATATCGTATATTTGGCTCAAGAAAACCCGTTTATCTAATCGCCTCGGCCCAGACCGAAAATGATCTTGAGTAGCCGACATTATCGATACTTAATCAATACCACGAATTTCACATCAACAACTTTTATAAGCCCTAAATGATATTTGAAGATTTCAAGTTCGGGAGAGTCATGATTACGGGAGTGAATTTCAATCGACGGAGAGCATGGCGAAATTCACTCTGCAAATATCAATATAAATATAATTAATGGTTCGTCGATTGCAGAGTAATTGCCAACACTCCACTGTCTATCGGGAAGCCCTGTCCGCAATCTAATCGAATCCGAATTCAATGGTTTGCTAATTCCGGCAGACAAGACAGTAGCATCCCGCAGTTGGGGAGGCGATACCAAATTGAAGATGGCGGAAGTGAAACGTCGGGGATCGAATCTCCCACCCGGGAACTACTTGTGCGGCATGGCCAATTGGCATCCGGCCTGGTTGCAGAAGTACGCCACCACCAAGATGTTCATGGGCGTCTACGGGCTGCTGGGCACCATTCAGGCCATGTCCTACATGTACTTCATCGTCACCCTAACCACACTGGAAAAACGGTTCAAAATTCCCAGCCAAACGACAGGTAATATTCAAAGTAATAAGTTTTGCAATTTATGAAGGCTATTTCAACAAAGATTGTTAAAAATCATAAAAACTATATCCTAAAGACATTTGTGATAATACAAATTGTAAAATATTTAAATAAAAAGCAATACAACCAAACTATACAATCATTTATCAAGTATATTTCAAAAAGAATCCCTATTAAATTCCTATAAAATTCACAATCCTTTGAAATCATTATTACAGGCATTATTCTCAGCGGCAATGAAATCTCGCAGATCATGCTGTCCCTAATCCTGTCCTATATCGGTGGTCAGCGCAACCGACCGCGCTGGATAGCCTGGGGCATTGTCTTCTGCGGCCTGTCGTGCTACATCCTCGTTCTGCCGCACTTTATCTACGGAGCAGGTCACGAGGTGCTGCAGTTCACCAAGGAGTACCAAGAGGGCCTCCTGAATGGGACTTCTAACGACGGCCAGCCCCTGCTGGTGGGTTCTTGGGTTAATCGCTATCCATTACATCTCTGAATTATGTTATTCTTTTAGAACATCAGCACTGTGCAGACCGAGCGACTCTGTGGATCGGGCAAAGCAGAGGACAACTGCGATGATCTCTTCTCCTACGTGCCACTGGTGCTCATCTTTCTCTCACAATTCGTACTGGGCGTGGGCAACACCATGTACTACTCCCTCGGACAGACCTATTTGGACGACAACACCAAGAAGACGAACACCCCCCTGATGTTGGCGGTGGCCATGGCCTTGAGGATGATTGGCCCAATTGTGGGATTCTTTTTCGGTAAGCTTAATGGGTCTCGGATAGCTGACGGTCATGACATTGATAATTTTTTGAACATAAGTCCTTAAGAGATTTATATTTCAAATCAAAAGATTAAAATGCTAAACGTTATTCTAACTTTCTTTATGAACATATGTTTCAATATAGAAAGTAATTTTTATTAGAATTTGCAAATTTTCTTTATTATTTTTAAAAAAATCCTTACGGTTTAATTTTCAAATTTATATACATAAATGAATGTTTTACTGAAACTTACTTTGTTTGCATGCTCTGGCTGAAATTATTTAACAAACGATCATCTTTTTTTAACAATATACATATAACCCTTATTGTTTTCCTTATCCAGGCTATTTATCGCTAAACACCTTCATCGATCCGAGCAAGACTCCGTTGATCGACAATAAGGACCCCCGCTGGTTGGGTGCCTGGTGGCTGGGCTGGGTGATCCTGGGCACCCTGATGTGCCTGTTCTCGGGCCTCATCGGACTCTTCCCCAAGCAGCTGCCCAAGGTGAACGGCGCACCAAGGGCCAACTCGCACCTGCCGTTGGCCCTGCGCCAGACGAAGGAGGAGCTCAAGCGGGAGGAGAACCTGTCGCTGAGCAGCCGCTGCTCCTCGAACGCCGCCCTCGACAATATCGGAGCTGCTGCAGGGGCCAATGCGGACCTGCCCAAGCTGAAGGACTTTCCACGCGCCCTCATGCGACTGCTGAGGAACAAGCTCCTGCTCTTCAACATCATCTCGGCGGTCTTCTACATCCTGGGTGCCTCTGGATTCATGACCTTCCTCACCAAATACATGGAGGTGCAGTTCCACAAGGACCCCCAGAGTGCCACCATTGTGAGTTTATTATGCCTGTTAGCTTTCCTCAACTAACTATTTGTTTGGCTAGGTCGTTGGCCCCATCTCGATTCTGGGCATGGTCGTGGGTCTGATTGGCTCCGGTGTGGTCCTGTCCAAGAAGAAGCCCCACGTCAGCAAGGTGCTCATGTGGAACGTGATCGTTGGTGGCGTTTCTATTTTGGGGCAGATCTCCTATGCCTTTCTTTACTGCCCGGACACCTTCTCCATGACTCATGTGGGACAGTAAGTATAAAATAAACCTTCTTACATGTAAACTATTTTATAAATTCTAAATCCAAAGGAAGAAGTATATCATTAAGGTTTATAATAAATATTTACATCTGTATTCAATTACAATTTATAAACTAGTATTTCACATGCACTAAACTAACATTATTCGGTTTTACTTAATTTTGTTTTTATTGATGAAATTGATAATATAACACTACTCCATTTAATTGTTTTTCTTTTTGTTGCATTTTAACTTTAACTAAATTTTCAAAAATCAAATGATGCATAATTTTTTAATTTTTAATATATAGTAAATTTTAATCCGATTCATTGCCCAATAGCTATCATATTTTTGAGTTAGCAAATACAACATTATTTTTATTCAATCGACTTATATTATTTTTGATCCTTTACAAAAACAGTATATTTGTTATCTTTCCAATCGGATTCCTAAACTCAATGGTTGTTTAAAAATCAGTACAACCTAAAATATTTCCCTGAATCTTTAGAACAAGAATATAGATATTAAAATTCAATATGAGATTAATACTCACTGCGAATATTGTTCCTTAAAATCTCCTTTGCGTTGTTTAATTTGGTTCTCTTTCCTACCACAGGCTAAACCTGACGAGTTCCTGCAACTCGAACTGCTCCTGCGAAGGGATAAGCTACACGCCCGTTTGCCACGAGCCCAGCGACACCACCTTCTTCTCGGCCTGCCATGCGGGATGCCGAGGATACAATGCCACCTCCAAGTTGTACGAGGACTGCGGCTGCCTGGCCAATGGAACTCAGTCACCCAGTGCGGGGCAACGGCTGATGGATCTGTTGCAACCCACTTCAGAGCCGGAACTGGACAGCACCACGGACTTTGCCGAGTATCTGGGCGGAGTGCCCCTGCTCGATGACAATGGTGATTTTGAAGAGAGGGTGCTCCTGTCCAGGAGCAGGAGAATCACTCCCAATTCGGTGCTCCGGCCGGGAATCTGTACGAAGAACTGCAACTGGAGCTTCTGGGCCTTTTCCATCACCTCGATGATCGTCAGTTGGTTCGGTTCGTCCGGTAGGGTGGGCAACGTCCTGGTCAACTATAGAGCGGTGGCCCACGAAGACAAGTCTTTCGCACAGGGTCTGGCCCTGATGATGATCAGTTTGCTTGCCCTGATCCCGGGTCCCATTATGTTCGGCCGCCTCATCGACTCCACGTGTCTCGTGTGGACAAAAACCTGCAATGGCAATGGCAACTGCCAGTTATACGACCAGACCCGCTTCCGTTACTCCCTCAACTTTTTGTCCTGCAGTAAGTTTCAAAGTCTGACAATCATATCAAGCTAAATAGGATTTCAAGGCGAGAAGAAATGGTTTAACACCTGTTTTTAGCTCTTATTAAGACGAATAATCGGTTTAAAAAGTCTCGAAAAAAAGTGTTTTTTTTAAGTAAATTATTCTTCGTATTTAATTTCAATTCAATTTGTGATTTTTAATATAAAACTTTGAACAATTACGGTCCCTGGTTAAAACCAATTGAAAAAAATGTTCTTTTAAACTAGTTTTCTTACATATCCCTTTAAACTTTCAGTGCTCACCTTCATGGGACTGTTCTTTGATTACCTTGTTTGGTACTACGGACGGACACTCGACATTTACGGCGATAAGGAGGCTAAGGAGGAGGAGCGTGCCAACAGAAGGGACCAGCCCATTACTCCGCTCCTGGCCAAGAAATCCGACCGGGACTAATACTGAAGAGGCAAACCAACCGTGATACTCAGTTATAAGGAGTAGATTCATAAAATGCACACCAGTTTCGAGTATTCAATAAAACCAAGCACATTCCTAGAGTAAGTTTCGGTAAAAAAAAGAAACGGGTGAAGCCAATAGACCACAGCCACATGTACAAACCTCCCGTTTTACGATAGGATATTCGCTAATACATTTTAACTATCCAATTTTGTGTTTCAGTGTAAAATTTTCGTATTACTTCTATTACGCGGTAAGATATATATATATAATATATTGCACGACGCTTAGATTAAAATCATTGAAAGAATTTATTTGTACGTATGTAAATAAATAATAAAATGAAACTAAAACATGCATATTGCCAAGGAAAATTTTTTTTTAAATGGTTCGATTTTCAAAAAGGGTTTGTATAACAGAAAAAGTTTGACCAGGGTTTTTAAAACAAAAAGGAACAAAGAACGATTAATTTATATTTTCAATTAAAACTCGATGAATTCGGTTCTTTAGTCTTCATCCTTTTTTAAATTTTCTTTTCGCTTTTATTGATAAAAAATGTTCAAATTTATGCAAATCGTTTGGTTTTTCTTCATTTCATATGTATATGTATAATAATAATACATTTGAATTTCGTTTTCAGTATAAATATTCCCGTTTTGTCTATATAATTTCTATTATTACAATCGCTCCATTTCCTCAGTGGCGTAGTTTTTGACTTCCGTTCTGTCTTCGCGTATGGTTTGGTTGAGTGTCAGTGTCGGGTGTGTGTGTGTGTGTGAAACATTTTAAATAAGTTTCCGCGTTGTCAACAATTATATCGCACTTAGTATTAATACAATAATATGAGTTCGATTCGTAGGAGGCTGCGAAAAGCGTTAAAAGCAGGTTTAAGTCCCTCACAAAATATGCCACCGATTTAAGTATTTTTCAGTTAATTAAATTAACTTAGACATGGGGACTGCTCAACTTGCTTAATTGATATTATCTATTATTATTCCTTTACTTGTGAGGGTAGGGACAACAACTTTATGTTTCAACAAAGACTGAATTTCAAATAATTAGGGGGGAAGACAGATTCTGAATAATAGGGGGCTGAATGTTTTGAAACCGCCTTGGTCCTGGGTCCGGATGAGTGTCAAATAAAAAGGTAAAATTAAATAAAAATCGTTGATAACTTGTGTTTTTGTTCTGCTTGGAAGCAAAAGGCATTTTATTCTTTCATAAGTGGGTCTCGTGATGGACGTGCACGAATTCTTCAATTAACTAAATTATAAAAAATGTAATTTTTTTTTGTAATCAGCCAAATAAAGTGAGTTATCAGAGGGGCTAAAATTAAAGTTAACAATAAGATGTTTAATGTTTGTTTCTCTGTTATGCATTCTTGGTCGTGTTCTTTAATGTTCCAAAGACTTTCAATTTTGAGCTTACAAATCAAACCAACTATACTCCATGTTCTTTAAGCTTAAACTAAAATTAAAGCATTTAGATTATATCATGTAAAAAAGAAGAGAAGAAATATCGTATTGTATTTGCAGGGTATTTAACAAATTTGCAATTTGAAGGCGCATACAGGAAGCTGAATGGGTGAGAAGGGTCGGGGACTTTGCTTTTCGATTGTACAAATACAAAAAATTGGGTAGCTTGCAGCTTTAGTTTTAGTATTAAAAAAAGTTCACGTCTTGCGCGCGATTTAGGCATGTACGTGTACGCTATTTAATGCTTACAGTTTATACAAAAGTAGTAAACCAAAATAAAACGACGACGGCAACTAATGCTCAATATCCTTGAGAGTGGGCCTCAACAACATAATCGTACCAAGAATCAATTAATGCCTGATCAGTTATCATTGCGGCGTTTCTCCAACTTATTCTCCCTCGCATACGTTATGTATATATAAATAGTTCATCTTGTTTCGCGCTCGCTGCCTCGACTTTGCTGCTTAGTTATACATAATATAGTTTATATTTCGTATATAATGCATTTCTGTTTCTATCTCTGAACTCTCCGTCCGTGCGTCGGGGTTGTAAATTAATTCCGCCTGCCTCTTCTTCTTATAATGCCTACATTGCCGTTCCGTTTCGATTCGAATCCTATTCAACCTTCTTTTTATCAATGTATAATCAATTGCTATTGCTGGTATAAAGGAAAGTAACCAGATGTGAGTTAGAGCTCGAGCGTGGGTGTGAACTGTTTTTGTGGATTTGTCAAATGTGAAGAAAGCGTGGCGTGGCGTTGCTGTTGTTGTTGTTGTTGTGGTTGTTTTCTCTTGTCGGGCGTGCAATGCTATCTCAAAAATCGCAGTGAAAGGCGGGTGCTCGAATTCAGCTTGGCTCAATTTATTCGACCACCTTCAGCACCTTGCCGATGGCAATGGTTTTATCTAAAAGTTAAGAACAACGGTTAGGCTAAATTTTCGATTGATACAGAAAAACAGAAAACTTACTTTCATCTCTGAGCGTAAAACGGCCCATTTGAGGGAAAAGCTTAAACTGTTCAAGGCAAATCATTCCGGAGCACTCTATACGCATAATTGCAACCTGATCCTGCTTAACGAACCGTGGACGTGTTTTTGATTTGTCGCCAGTCTTTTTGTCGACCAAGCAAATGAGGGCCTATCGCAAATAAACAATTTATGTCATTTAGTTTATAAGTACTCTATGGGAGCAAAATGAAAACTCACCTTCACTGTCACCTCTTCGGCAGCGCAGTGTATGTGCATGACAGCCGAATAACCCGCACAGATAATTGATTTGTGTTCTAAGATTACGACCTGAGCATCAAAGATTTTTCCCGTCTTAATGGGATTGGCGGCATCGCAGAGCACAAACCCTGGCGAGACATCCTCCTCCTCAATGCCCTTAAAAAAATGGTAGAATAGGAATTAATTAAATCAACAGGTAATGAGTGTTTAACACGTAAAACCAATGTATTGCTTATCTAGAGAAAAGTTAGATTCAAATTTTGTTAAATATTAAAATCTTTTGATAAAAAGTGTATTTAAACTATAAACTTCAAATTTTAATTTAGGCTGTAAAGTATTATTCAGTTTCTGATTTATTCTAAATACAAAATCTTTGTGTTGTTTTTCGATAAGACAAATGAATTATCTTAATAGTCTATAATCAATTCTAATATAAACAATTGTCACTGAACTGAGAGTAACATATTTGTCCCGTACGATATTAAATTATTAATTAGTTATTATTAATTATGCACTTACTTTCAGCTTGATTTTGACGTTCTCGCCGGGACCAACAGATGTGACTTCGAAGTCGTCGGAAAACAACTGATCCACAGCCACTTGCGTCTATAAGAAACGTTAAATTAGTGCCCACTCGAATGTCGGCTAGATTTAAACTGCAAAAACTCACCCTATTTGGCATCACCAACAGGTTCTGACCCTTGCGCGCCATTCCGGACTCAACCTTGCCCATCACCACGGTGCCCATGTCCTTATACTTGTCTACGATGGGCATAATGAAGGGTCCGTCAGACTTGCGGTTGAGCGAGGGCAGTTCGTCGATGAACGGAATGAAGGCGGGCCCCCGGTACCAGGAGCAGAGCGTCTCCGGGACTTGGTCCTTCAGTCCGTAGCCGCTGAGACCCGAGCAAGGCATAAAGGTAAGGTCCTTGGCCGGGTTGAAGCCCAGCTTCTTGAGGTATGGTAGTATCTTGTCTTTACATTCGTTGTAGCGCGTCTGATCCCAACTGACCGTGGGGTCATCCATTTTGTTGACCAGCACGACCAGATGCTTGACGCCTGCGGTCTTGGCCAACATGGCGTGCTCGCGGGTCTGTCCGCCGCGGTCGAAGCCCGTCTCGAATTCACCCTTTCGCGCCGAGATGACCAGCACGGCGAGATCGGCCTGCGCCGCACCTCCGATCATGTTCGGCACGAAGCTCTTGTGACCGGGCGCGTCCAGGATTGTGAAGTGCTTGCGGTCCGTCTCAAAGAAGGCGCGCCCCACCTCGACGGTTTTGCCCTTGTCGCGCTCCTCCTGGTTGGTGTCCAGCGCCCAGGACAAGTACCAACTCTCGCGCGACTTCTCACGCGCCTCCCGCTCGTACTTCTCCAGCGTCCGCTTGTCTACCATGCCTGTGAGGGACATGATTTGTCCGCCGATTGTTGACTTGCCAGCATCTAAGCGATACAAAATCACCATGTCAATAAGCGAGGGCTTTTTACAGCAGCCGCATAAGTCATGGTAACTCACCAACATGGCCAATGAACACTACATTCACGTGCTCACGCTTGCTTCTGTTTTCCTCCACTTTGACCACCTTCTTCTTGGACACTTTGGGCGTGGCCTCGCCCTCTGTGAACTCGGCATCCTCCACCTCCTCGTCCTCGGGTGTGATAACTGCATCGTCTACATCCCAGCTGTCAGCGGGATCGGTTTCTAAATAATAAAAAATAAATAGTTATTAGTTAAGTCATTTATGGGGGATTCCACGGTGATTGTGAGAATGCCAAGTTGCTGGGAAACAGGATATCTTAGAAATCCGAGAATATCCATGCTTGTTTGTTTTTACAGAAATAGTTGTGCCAACACGAAATGCGGTAATGTTTGTTTGGGATTTATTACAAAAATTCATGGTTAATGGAAACAAAATGTATACATTGTTTAACTGTAAGTCACAATACCTATTTGTTATTAATTTTCAAATTTGTATACATTTTTTGCCTAAGCATCAGAATCTAAGAATAATTTGTATTGACTTTCTCTAAAATAGTGTCTCAAAGTCTAGATTAATCTAGTTTTTAACGGAATAAATGGAAATTCTATTCTCGTTTTGACTTATTAAAATAATCCACATTATCTAAAATGTTTATAGATACGGTAGTGACATATATTATTTGAACTTTCTCTATTCTTACAAAGAGAAGCCTGTGTGATGAAAACGTACATAACTATTTTCCAATTGACATACTTGTATTTTGGTTGAATATCTTGGATATTTTTTGTGCACTTTGTTATACAGCCAAACTATTCACAAAAATAAACTTTCAAAAAGTTTGTGGGTATCTTTATTGATGAAGTACATTTTTGGTTTGCAAAAAAGACAGCCGTGCAAATACCCACGTTTTAGTTCAAATTTAGTTTTTAAATAAATTTAGGTCAACTTTTAGAGATACTTTGCTTGGAAAAACACTTGATTGGGAATTCATTTGTAACCAAGTTAACGTGCGCCTCTCTTATTTACATATATACTTCATTCATGGCCAATCGGTGTTAGTCTGGTAACTACTACCACATGCTCTCGCCGTGTTTGACCTGGCGGCCGCATGCTAATTGGTAATTACTGGCTCTAGCCAGCCGGATGAGTCATGTGCCGGATCGGAGTGCTGGTGACAACGTGCTCGGTTGAAGGTGGATTTCTAATGTTAGGATCCCGAACCTTTGTCTTACTGGAGTTACCATTTGAAGAGAAGGGTTGGTTTCGAGGTGGAATTGCTGGATCCTGACAAACATATAGACTTATCCCGAATACCGCCTACTAACTTTTTCTCCACTTCGACGTCGATGGTTTCTTGGACACAATGTAGCGAGAACCCATGCCCTTACTCATGATGGCGGTACAAAAAACTAAAAAGCGAATGGGATTGGTAACAGGAGCGGATGGTTGAGCGAGCTGCGATCGCGCGAAAGTGTAAGAGCCAACAGCACATTTTTAGTCGTTTCAGCTGCCGCACAGCCAAACGGCATGGAAGCGGAATCGGGTTCGAAGCGGTTTCAACCGCCGGCGAGCTGCACTAAGCGCTTCCATTCGGGCCAAACAACTACAACGTGGCGGCAATGGAGTCGCTGCGATAACGAGTGAGCCAGCTGAACGGACGCCCATGCCATTCCACTTCATTCCAGTCCGCGAAGCGAAGCTGGGCGCAACAGAGGCTCCAATAAACGATTGGCAAAAACGCAAACGTGTCAAAAACACAGCGATTGGGGGTCATTTGCGAGTGTGAGTGCGAAGATGGCAAGGCAAATGGCCAAATAAACGGCGGCACAAAGAGTAGTGGGAGAAAAATGGCAGCGCAAACAGCTGCTCGTTGGCGTCGCCGGGCGAATGGCAAGAGTGTGAGTGGCCGCTAGATCTGCGCCGTGAATGGACACAGCGCATCAAGTGACTGTTATTTGTGCAATATATTTCGTGGTATTATGAATAAGTCAGAAGCAGGGAATAGTAATTGTTTGTTTTTTTTTTTTTTAGAGCAAGAAGATATTTGTTAAAAACTATCACAGCTGCCTGATTTACCAAATTACAGATAATGAATTTTTCAGAATAGTAACCAAAGCACTACATTAAAATAATCGAGAAAGAATCACATAAATTAGTCAATAAATAAAAAAAAAAAATACAACGTTCAAACAATTTATATAGCAGAAATATTTTCCTTTTTTTGTGACCCTTGTGAATTCAATCTATTCGTATCTGGTAATTACAATAAAAATTTTAAATACCGGTTCCAAATGAAACTTTCTATTTTTCTATCAAAGGTATAGAGTAATTCCAGGCGTAGAAGCAATTTAAAGTATACATTGACGTAGAGACTAATTCAGTTTACAGTTTACAGTTTTACTGTGGACAATTATTAATAATTACCATTTCAGGCTTATAATTTCTATAAAAAACCCTAGGATTGGCGATGCCAAAGTAAAAAAGGAAATAAGTTAAATAGGTTTGGCTACCGAATGATCTAAGTGGTTTGAAAAACCTAAATTCGACAACAATTCGTGTTTGGGAACACAATTGTTTAGAAAAATTTTATTTTACCACAAAAGTGACAGGTCGCGATCTGCGCATCTCTGCCATGAGCCACCGCTGGCGACACGATGGCGTGAAAAGCGGTCAAAGAAAGGCCCTGACCAACAGTGGTTTTTGCACCCAGGCCAAAAAGAGATTAGCCATTTGCTTAACGGCAAAATAAAGCCCACAAATCGAATAAAGCAAGCAACACATGCGACGCCGACTGCATCGCTGACGCAGATTGAGGTTATGTGCGGACACCGATAATAACCTAAACTGAACCGAACGAATGCAACCTTTCTTCGGGGTTTTCCTTTCTTTTACCCTTCCCCTCTTTCCTTTCACACTGGTCTCCCCAACAGCAGGTAGCAACAATAACACGCTTCTTTGTTGACGTCACAGGGGAAGAGTTCAATGGACGTGGACGGTGGGTTTCGGAGGGGGGTTTTTTGGGAGTTTGGGTTCGGGGGCTCTATTTACCATTGTTTGCGATTTTGTCCGAGGGGTTGAGACCTTCGATGGGCGTTGGAGCTGCTGCCGCTGCCGCAGAAGGCGTGGTGGCAGGCGAACCCGGTGCTGGCGATGCGGAATTGGAGGAGGAAGTGGGCGGTGCATCCGCTCCCGCCGCCGCTTGGGGAGGAGGGGGAGCTGCGCCCGCTGTAGATCCCCCGCTGCCGGTGGAGTCGGGTGTGGTGGCTGGCGTGGCGGATCCTGAGGCGGGACCCGGATCCGTGGCAGTGGGGGGCGGGGTCGGCGCCTGGGCCTCCGCCTCCTCCGCTGCGACCGCAACTGCTGCCGCTGCTGCGGCCACGCTGTTGTAACTGAAACTGGGCACAAACTCCACCGCGTTCACATTCAGCGTGGAGAACTTTGTGCTGATCTCCGTGTTTTCCTGGGCGGCCATCGTTCTGATGCGGTGCGGTTTCTCTGTTTTTCGATGAAAATCTCTCGCTTTTTTCACGCGACACACTTTCGCCCTCCTTCAAACGGCTGCTTCTTCTTGCTGCTCCCGCACTCACACAGAACACACGCGGTCGTTTCGGGATTGAAAATGGAAATACGGGAATGGCAATGGCACTAAGAATCACACACGCTTCAAAAGTTGGTGGCCGGGGGGTGGGGGGTTAAAGCCAGACTTTCGACTTAATGAGGTCCACACTAGTGTTGTGGTTCGGTCTTGTGTTGTGTGTGCTATGGCCTGGCCAACTTAGTTTAAACTCAGTTTTCCTCTATTTCCTCGGGGGGAAATCTCTTGCTGGTGGCAGTGGTTACCACCTGGTGACCTGCAGGTGTAATTCGCTACCTAAACACTTAATGCAGTGCTCGGGAATTAGCAATCTTTTATTATTTTTACACGTTTCAAGCCACGCATCGAGTCAGGGTTGTCACAAGTATGAAATGTTATCGGGGTATCGATAGGTGAATGTACAGTGGGGCCTAGTGGCAGACCACAAAAAAATAATTAAATTCAAATATATCAGTGATATCATTATTCTAGAACAACATATTAATCCTTTAATACTATTTAGTCTGATAGCAGCTTCCTTTTTCGAACTCTCATATATGTATGTACTGCGCTAGTTAAAATAATTAAATAAGTTTTTACTAATGCTAATGATGGTTATAATCAAATAATAGGCCGATGGCAGATTTAAAGCAACAAATAAATGTAGATTTATGTTCACTTGAATATACTTTTGTTTTTTGTACAAATTTAAAACAAATATGTTTACATTAAAAATCGCTATAACGTACCTTACAGCCGGTTTAGACAGGAGCGCATCTGAAACTTTAAATAAAAATTACGAGTGTAGTCTTTATTTTTGACAAATGTAAAACTCCGATTTTCACAGAGCACACCTTCCGATAAAAGCTGATCTGAACAGATGTGGCTCATAAATACCTTAACCAATATTTTGACAATAATACCAACCGTTTTTAACGCAATTTCTATCTGTCTTAATTTCCAATCGTTTCGCTCGGATGTGCTCTACGGGATTTTGCTATAATGAAAAATGCGTAAAAATATTGTTCCCCATACTATCGTGATAGATAAAAACAATCGATTATTTTAGCCCAACCATCGATAGTTCCATCGATGTTTTGACAGCTCACGTCAAGGTGCAGCCACACTGAAGCAACGTCACTGGTGCCGGACGCCATTTTAGCAGAGTGAAAATAATTGTCGCCAGATAAACTTGCTTTGAACAGACGTGCGTTTTGGGAAATAATTAAAATCTCAATATAGATAATGAGTAACGGTGCAAGTGCCGGGGGATTGGGCGCAGCGCGTCCTCCGCCCAGAATCGATGGAATGGTCTCGCTGAAGGCAAGTATATGTGAAAAAAAAGAAATCGCTAACAAAATGGCGGCCGGCTGGCAACGTTGCCGGGTTAGATAACCTCTTTTCGGAATGTAAATCAATGTGAGCGTATTGATATCCCGCAGGTCGACAATCTCACATACCGCACCACGCCGGAGGATCTGCGTCGGGTCTTTGAAAGATGCGGCGAGGTAGGCGACATCTACATACCCAGGGATCGCTACACGCGCGAAAGCCGCGGTTTTGCCTTCGTTCGGTAAGTATCCCATCTCGTGTCTTATTCCGGGAAATTTGGCTAACCCAAGTATAGCAATGGTTAGACATCTTGAAAGTATCAAATACCCTTACATATCTACATCAATTATCCATGGGAACTTATAAAAACATATTCCTAGTAGCATATTCAGTATATACGGGCAGTGTTTTATTCCATCTGTTAGGACCAGGGGTTTGTATATTTCCATTAACATCAAAAATTGATAAGAATCCTTCTAAACTTACATTAGTAATTCCTCAAGACGATTTTTTCTTTATAAGACATTATTAATACTTTAAGAACACTTAATGTCCAACGGTTCACTAGTATCACTAATTTCAGTTATTATTAAAGTAATTAATAATATGTCTTTCAAACGCATCATATTAAATAAAACAAGCATTATTTGCTAGCATCGAAGGTGTATCAGTTATAAATCTGTACATTTTCTGTAGCAAAAAGGTGCCAGATGAAATGTGTTCACTTGCAACTGTTGCCTACTCAACTCCTACTAGCCAACATACTGAGAATACAACATTTTACCAATTGAAACACGTGATGTGTCCACAAAAATAACATTTTGTAATCTTGAGTTGTTTTATAGGGCGAAAAGGTGCCATAAAACGCCACATGTTTTTGTATGCATCTCAATCCAAATTTGCATTATTTGCTAACATTAAAGGTGTACTAGTAACAAATCTATACATTTTTTCAAACAAAAGGGTGCCAGATGAAATGTTTTCACTTGCAACTGTTGCCTACTCAACTACTACTAGCCCAAAAAAAAAAAAAAAACAACATAAACTATTGCCAAAATTGTATGCTTCTTGCTTAGCATTTGCTTCTATATTGTGTAGCGAAAAACTTTCATTAAAAACGTTTTAGAACTAAGATCTTCTTCAAACTAGAAATAAAATAATACAACAATTTGTATTGTGCATTATTCGCTATTTTTGAATATGTATCAGCTTTCAATCTGAACATTTTCCTTAGCGAAATGATGCCAGAATAACTGTGTTTACTTGCAACTGTTGCCTACCAAATCCCTGCTAGCCAACATACTGTCAACCCTACAGTTTCAGAAGATTTAAATAAAAGTTTAATATGTATTACTAAAATACCCAGGTACATAGTTCTTATGAAGTTTCTGTCTTGCATTGCAGCTTCTATGACAAACGTGATGCTGAGGACGCACTGGAGGCCATGGACGGTCGCATGTTGGACGGCAGGGAGCTTCGTGTACAGATGGCCCGCTACGGCCGCCCGTCGTCGCCCACACGTAGCTCGAGTGGTCGTCGTGGCGGAGGAGGTGGAGGTGGATCCGGCGGACGTCGTCGCTCACGATCCCGCTCCCCGATGCGTCGCCGTTCGCGCAGCCCGCGGCGCCGCTCGTATTCCCGTTCCCGCTCGGCTGGCAGCCATTCACCGGAACGCCGCTCCAAGTTCTCGCGCAGTCCTGTCCGCGGCGACAGTCGCAACGGAATCGGAAGCGGGTCCGTGGCAATAGTCGCAGCCGCGTCTCGCAGTCGCAGTCGCTCCTAAATATGACAAAAACGTTCCATCATGTTAGAGTGCGAGGTGGGTTATCAAACGTGCTCGTTAACTTCCATTAAGAGTCGAAGGACATTTTAAAACAGTGGTCGGTACGGTATAAAACATACAAATTTCTTCTTCATTCCAGATATGGCTCGCTGACAAAGCCAGATTCCGACTCCTGTTAAGGATCTGTGGCTCCTCCTGTGTCATGCTGTACCCGAACAGCAGGTATACAAAACATTAAACACTTACACTTTACACAACTATTTATAGCGAACTATTTTAAGTTTCGGCAGAGTATATAAGAAGAGAAAAGGCATGTAATTACGTTCCGAGCGAGATCCCCGGTCCCTGGGAGATCCCTCGATGTCGGTTCTTTCCAATTAGGCTTTTGATATACTTAGTAGCGTAGTAGAAATCCTTGAACAAAACCAGAAACAAAACATAATAAACTCAAATTACCACGGCTTCTACTTAATACTCAGTATAAGATGACAGACAGAAGGAGGATGAGTGATAGTGCTCTGATTGTTTCGTTGCGTTCCGTTCGATTCAATTCGATTCGATTGCGTTTGTGTTGCCCGTTTCCGTTATTTGTACATTTTAACGACAAACTTATTAACAAGCTTCTCCCACACGTTTATTATATACATGCAGGCAGTTGGTGTGTGGCAGTTGTTGCGGTTCTGATAAGATTGTGGTTAAATCGCGAGGGAGGATCAGCAGCAGCGCATCATCCAAGCTACAACTCCTTTCTCCTTCCTCCTGGGAGCGGACATCGCGTGGCTGCTGTTGCTGCTGCTGCTGCTGCTGCAGATGCTGTTGCTGTCGCTGACGCACGTTGCCGTTGCTGGTGCCGCTGATGTTGCAGTTGCAGATGCAGCTTGCTGTTTCCTGTTAGCCGCTGTCACAGCTCCAGATTCTGCGATTCTCCAGCTTGGGAGCTGGGAGTAGCAGTCACTCATAGTTTCCTGTTTCCCGACACTTCTTCTCTCGTCTCGTCTCGTCTCATCTCGTCTCGTCTCGCGATTTGTAGCTGGTTGGCGTTGTTGGTGTTTTCCTGTATGTTGGTGGGCGTCCCCTTTTGAGTTTAGGCGAAAAAACATTTCCAGCCGAGCTATGTTGGTGATGCAATGGATGTCGGAGTTAGGACCTCGAACTGTGACTAGGCCTCGTTGGATTTCTTCAAGGACTTAATTGGGTGAGTCGGACAGCTAACTTTTTTTTATTACAGCTTTTAAAAAAAAAATTATTCAATAAAATGTAATTCCATTTAAATGTACCCAAACATTTGTTTTTTATTTGGAAATTCGGTTTTTTCGAATTGTGTAATTCATTTTTAGAGCGGCAACTTAAAAGCCTTGTTGTACTCTGGTGCCTACAATATGGCATTCAGTAGAGACCGCTAAAAGCTGGCATAAAAACGATATTTAAAACTTAAAAAACAAATTGCGATTCTTAAGAAAATTAAAATAAAAGGGTATGAATGCTTTGGTATTAATAAGAGCGAAGTTGGTCTGTATATTTCATTTTATAATTAAAATTGAAATCTCTCTAATTTTTTTAGTGCAAGGCTCTTTAATTTTCTTCGATTATCTATGGTATATAAAAACTAGGCTTTGATGTTTTTGTTGGGCCGTTTCTATTGGCACCAAAAACTTGGTAGTCGTGTGTTTTATTGACAAAACAGTTGCCGGGAAACTGAAGGAAAATCATAAATCTGATTTGTTCTGATTTTTACTCAGGTCGGACGGACCCTTTACACTTTCGCCCAAAATTAAATTGATTCCTCCTTAAAGATGATTCAGTACGACACTGTGCAGATCAAAAATGTGTCCTGGTGAGCTATAGTCATGACTTTCTTGATCTCAGATAAGTACTGTGTTGAGTTTTTAGGCAGCCCGAGCTGCATACGGAGGGCACCTATGTGTGCTCCTTTCCGGAGCCACCGCCGCCAGAAGCCCACTTGAAACCGGGCACCTGGCATGGCCATCTGGAGCCGTATCAGCGTCTTTTCTACCACCAGACGATGAATTCGGTGCGCTCGAGCAAACGCTACCGGGCCAATCCGAACGTCCCAAAGGACACACTTGACTTCTCGCTGCAGTCGCGCTACGATCATACGCGCGAAGCCTTTCCGGACAAAGTAGACTATGTCATGCAGCGGGAGACTTGCCGGGCCATAAGCAGCTGGTCGGCACCCGGGGCGGCCAAGGAAATCGGCGCCCAGCTCAAGTCGTTCCGGGTGCTGCGCAACACGCGCCTTATCCGCCGCAAGCAGGAGGCCGTCCTGGGTCATCCACTTCGCATTGGTAAGTTGTTATGTTTAAAGAGGTTCCTTTTCTCAGTTTCAAAAAGTAGGTATAAGTTATAGAATAAGGAGTAATAGGTATAAAGGTAGCAAAATAATAATGAAAATTCTAATAAAATAAAAATGCCAGTGCATTTCAGCAAGAATTCTAGTTCTAAATAGATTTTCTTTAAAAATTAACCACAAACAGCAATGTCTTACTTGTAATATTACTACTTTAAAAATTGCTGTAAAATTGATTACAGATAAATATTATTTTTATATACCTAAGGTCAATTGTTTGGTATATTTTCAGGCGGCTGTAAGGAAAAGATCCATCCCCATAGTGTGAAGCTGATTTGTAGTGGCGTCCATAACCAGCTGGTCAACAACGGATTTTCGCGCCAGTCCTCCGACGGCAACTTCTTCCGCTATTAGCTCCGCTAAGGTCTTTGCCTTCCCAGAAAAAAAGAGTTTCTTGTTTTGGGTTTTATAAACATTATTGGCAATAAATTTGTGACACAGAAGCAGTCGTCACGCCGTCGCCTCCAGCTTGGGCTGCTTGGCCATGTGCTCCGCATCATCGTCATCTGTCACCGTTTGTGGGGTATCGTTTTGGTCCTCCTCTGCCTGCTGTTGCGATGCTTTGTGGCGCTGCTTCTTGTTCTGGTTACGGTAGCTTTTTGGCAGTTTGTTTTCACCAATCCTAAAACGGGCAGGTAATTAGTATACGAGAAAGAATGGCTCAAGTACTTTGCTTACATGATTGTGGCCCTTGTTCCTGGTCCCCAGTGAGGAGTGGGGTTCTCCTGGAAACGCGATAACGCAGACTTTCGGCTCTTCGGGTTGGCCTCCGGGTGAAGTTCATCGAACTCGTAGTCCGCGGTGCTTTGTTTCGAAAGTATGGCCTCCAGAGGAGTGCCAGCAATCATCCGGTCGGGATTGACCGGATGCCGCTTGCTCCAGCTGCGCAGAATGTCCCACAGCACCGCTGGGGGCGCATCAGTTTTCAGGGAGTTCTTCGAGGCATGCGAGTAGGAGACTCGATAGCCGGCATGGAGAATGGCAGACCGGAACTTCAGCATGGGCACAATCTCTAGCTTAAGCACGCAGCACAGTTTGTCAGGCGTGTAATACAGGGGAACATCCTGCAACTCCTCCTGGACCATGGAGAGCACGCCAACGATTCTCCTTTGGGTGCCTAGGGACTGCAGCGATGACTCCTGCACGGTCTTCAATAGGTCCTGGACGAATTCCGGGTTATGAATCGGAGCTGACCAGATGGGCCCACCCAGGTGGTGCTTGTGACCGCAATGCTCGCACTGAGAATTGACCGTTGGACCTGTGGGTATGCCGTATTTCAACTGCTGGGGATTTCCAGCCGTGGGATTGGGCTTAATTGTGCCCAAGGGTTGCAGCGTAAAGGTCTCGCAGCCGGTGCACTGGTATATCCAAGACTGTTTGCTCATTGACAACTTGCACTGCGCTTGTCCCGCGTACACTCGTACAAATATCCGGACGTAAAAGTCCGCTGATATGCTCAGCAGCGGTTCGATGTATTTGCCATGCCTATTCGCATGGCTCTCGATGCAGTGTAGCAGGATGCGTAATGCCATCTCGTGGCAACACTTCATCCGCAAGGGCACAGATCCGTACTTCACATAGCACGCCTCCGGAGCGTTTCCGGCCAGAACGGCCATGTCGGTGGCAGTTACCAGGAGCAGGCCCCCGTCCACTAGACACTGCATAGCTCCGTCCAGAAAGCGATTCGGACATCCGTACGGATCCAGGTCCACGGCATCAAAGCGCTTCTCGGGGTGTGTCGAAAGATACATGAGGGTCCTGTAAGAGGCATACATAAATGAAATTTCGCTTTAAAACTTTTGATTGCCGGGTTTCGGATACTTAATGAGAGATAGCTTAAGTTCATAACACGAATACACTACATTTCATAGCTAAAACCTCTTATAAGAACTACCTTGTTTTAAAATAGACTGGTTTTTTTTAACACTACAATATTGAAATATTAAATTGATTAGTTGGTCAATTTAGACTCCTGCAGACTCATCATGGCTATCCACTATATATGTTATAGTTAGGTGATATAGTCAACATACATGGCATCCGAATGACTGGGTTCGATCAGCTCCTCCACTTTGTTGTGCCGGATATTAGTGTTGATGGACTCCACCGCCTGGCGGGATAGATCGTTGGCCACGATCTGGCGCACTCCAGCGATTTCCTGGGCGTAGCGAATGCTCCGCAAACCTGTTGCTGCCAGGGCCTCCAGTATCCGCAGACCATCCTCATAGCGAGTACCTGCCTCATAGGTGGGTGGATTCTCGGAAACCGGAGTGGGTTTTTCCTGCTCCTGCTCCTCCTCCTTCACCTTCTTTCGCTGCTTTTTTAGCACCTTTTCGCTTCTTTCTTTCGCCAATCTCCGGAAGTAAACATTTAAGACTGCGATGCTCAGATCTCGATTGAATTCTTGGACAGGATTGTAGAAAACATTGCCGCCAGAAACGATCTCTGCGTTGCGTTCGCGTATCACGCTTTCATTGGGGTTCTCCGCAATAATCTGCAATGAAATGATTAGTTAAAATGCTTTAATTAAGTGGTTTTCTTCAACAACCTGCGGTTTTTCCTCGTCAACTTCCATTTGAAGGTGATAAAAAACATCCACGTGGGGCTGTGTTGGATAACGCGCTGCCTTCGGTAGTGCTGAGAAACGCTTTGTCAGCTATCTAGCTATAAAAATGTTCAGTTGGATATCTAAAAACACGATGTCTGCAAAGAATTATAGCTAGCAAGTTATTTCTAAATTAATTCAATAATTTGTTTGAAAATAAGTACGATGTGAAATCTATAATTAAAGTAAGCACTAAACCTTAAAGGTAAAAATGGATAGAAAATAAGTTAAGAAACATTCTATAATGATTTTAATAAAAACATTTACATAACTATAATTTAACAAGGAAATAAAAAAACGCTGTTTGCACTAGCTAACTTTCCATCACCCGATGTATCGACATATTTATCGGGCCGGAGTCCATCCCTATGGTTGATAAAGAAATTAATTTGCAGAAGTGAAGCAGTTGCAGCCGCAAACAGAAGCAAATCCTCTAGAAGCGATAAGAATTTTGTACTTTTATATAGCGCCACAAAGAATACACAGAATGACCGATCTGCGCAACGAGATGGACAGCGATCTGGACCAGAACTACTCCCTGAACAGCAATGCGGACCCAAAGAACATGCAGGAGCTGACCATTTACGTGAGTAATGCCCGATCCGGGAACCACCCAGTAAATAAAGAACCGAAATGAGCACCCAGTAAAATCCGCCTCCTGTTATCAGGTCCAAAATCTGTTGCAGAATGTGCAGGACAAGTTTCAGACGATGTCCGACCAGATAATCACGCGCATCGACGACATGGGCAACCGCATCGACGACCTGGAGAAGAGCATCGCGGACCTGATGAACCAGGCCGGGATTGAGGGCCAGGGCCCGGAGAAATGAGACCCGTAGAAGCCCGTCGTTCGGCCACGCCCATCTGGAAACTGCATCCCAATACCATAATACACATACATCGAACACCTGGCACCCAGTCACCCGAATCAAGTTTGTAATTCCAGGCTCTCACATTCATTTAATCTCCTCCGCACCCGGTTGCTCCAAAACCACACATTTGCTCATCCGTTTATTGCATAGTTCTAAGTTTCTCCCACACGGAGAGCTTCTTTATTTTAAGTAAAGTAATTCTTTTGTGAGCAAGGGCCAATAATTTAGAATTATTGCCGTTTAGTTTCTATTTATTAATAAAAATTTCAAGAATTGTAAAATCCCTGGTATTGGGAGTTCAGGACTTCGATTTAACAACGGTTACCTGGCGACCTGCTCCCGAATTCCGCCTTCTCGCCTGCGGGGTTATGGCGGTAACATGGAAAAGTGGAGAGAAATGTGCCATTTCCGCTTGATTAGTTATGATATGCATATATATGTATTCTTGTTTATCTGGGACAAATAATACGAATCGTGAGCCGTGGCGATTAAAGTGTATGCAAATCAGCGTTGAATGCAAGCTAAAACTAAGTAAGTTAGGGCTACTTTTAAAATGGATTCGTTAAGTAGACTTATTAGCTAGTTCTTGAGTATAATTTGCAATACGTTGCTTATTAAAGTCGAATAGTTTTGGCGAACGATATATTTTTAATTGCTTAAACAACGCATGCTTTAGAATATATTACCTTTGGAAAAAATTTGTTTTAAGAGATAATTTATAACATCAAGCAACAAAACAAATCGAATCGGTCTGTCCGGAATGAACATCGAGATCTCGGAAACTATAAAAGCCAGAGATTTAAGTTTTGACATGCAGATTCTAATTTAAAGCGCCACGCTTACTCTTACGCCCACAAATGTTTGTTTTGTCACATTGAGATATGGTAGAGTTAGCTGTTGGCCTGTGAATGTGATTTTAAGTCAGATTAAGATAGTTGAAACAGGCATTCTATAAATCGAGTTTTTATTTTGAGTTCTGCTGTTCTGCAGGCAAAACACTATCCTTTTTTTTTTTTAAAGCTAACAAATGTTTCGTGATAAAAAAATAAGATATGATTACCTAATTCATTTGGAACTGCATGTTAAAACAATAAAAATTATGGCATAAACTAATTTTTATAATTACATCAGAGCGATTAAGATATTCTTTTCTTGGTTTTCAATTTATGATAAGTTGGATTTTATTTTATGTTTTATATTTAGAATGTGTGACTAGTATAGCCTGCAATACTGATATGAATTCTGGTTTAAGAATTTCAGTACTAGTGCTGGGGTACATGAAACTGCTTCTGCAATCTTACATGGGTGGATGCCACAGCCTTGAAAGGATGTTTTACTGTCTGCCTGGTCGGTTTCGAAGGAGCAGGAGTTGCACTTGCGCCGGACGAGGGCGTGGCTACATCTTTGGCAGTGGATCGTATCTTGGCCCCAAAGACATTCTCGCGAGGAGTGAGCTGGCTGCTCTGCTGGGTGGGCTCCCTTTCATCGTCTGATGCGGTTCCAGATTCCTCTTCTTCCTCTCCACTTTGCTCGGTTTCCTGGGAGCAACAAATAAATTTCAATTAGTAAAGGGTCATTCCCAGAAAGCATCATCTCAATCTAACCTCATCTTCGTCATCATCCTCTTCTTCCTGCTCATCGGTTTCCTCCTCTGGTTCCGTTTTACTCCCATGACTGATTCCGGCACCGGCCAGATTCTTGCTACTCCTGGATAACCTTTGGCGCCTCTTCAGCGGACTGACCAGGTGCTCATGCTCCAAACTATCCATAGACTGCGAACGCAAACCCTTCTTTAGGGCCGCCTTTCGGGAAGTGGGCTCCTCCTTGCTTTTCATCAGCTTCTGGAACTCCAGGAAATCGTCGCGTTCATCAATGCTCCCTATATCATAGTAACTAGCGGAAAGGACCTCCAAGGCCTTGGTGTGCTGCTTCATGGAAATCAGAATAAAATCAGAGATTATCTGCTTCAAGTCCCTTAACTTCCGCTGCTCGAAGTTCCCAATGATGTCGTCGATCTCTTTGTTGGTGCGCTGTACCTCCATTTTGGCTTTAAACAACTCGGAATCTGCGGCACTCTGGGAAAGTAAAATTCAAGATTATTGTCTCATTTTTGAGCCGTTTTTCCACTCACATTATTGGCTGAAAACTTTGACTTAAGCTCCAGCATCTGTCGTTGACGTAGAACCTCCTTATCCCGGGCTATAACTGCAAGACGTAAATTTTCCCGTGTGGACTTGCAAAGCTGCTCGAACTGCGAGAGCTCGTTAACAATCTGGAGAAAAAGCATCAAATAATTTTACTAATTAGCGATTTAAATATGTGATTTAGATACATAACTTTTACGTTAACCACAACTTCACTATTTTAAAATTTAATTTACAAAGAATTGCTTTTAAAGTTAATAGTAAAGAATAAAGTTTGGTCCAGCTTAAATCTTTAAAACGAATAGTAATGTAAACGTAAACTAGGAAAATCGGATTGGTCTTACAACTTAAGACCCTACCTTGTGTTCCAATCGGTGCACATTGATGTCCATATAGTCGCCCATTATTGTGACCGCATTCGTGAAACTCTTCAGTCCTTGACAGAGACTTTCATTGATTTCCTCGTCATCGGCATAACTCTTAACACTCTTGGCCAGCTCATCGAAGGAGTCGCGGTATCTGCAAGGAATCATAAATAAAGTCCAGGATTCAACTATTAAGTGTACCCACTTGGCCATTTTCCTCGTCACCAAAGCAAATGAAGAACACATCTCCAATAAATGTCGCTCTGTTATGTTTATGCGCTCGGTTATTAGTTTGATGCGATCATCTTTGGTATTCAGAAACGATAATTTTCCACGGCGAAACATTCTTGTTTAGTTTAGCTGATTTTCCTTAATTTTTCTTTTGACAATAAAATCCAGGGAAAACCGTTACCAAGACAACGGAAAAATATCCAGGTGGCAACACTGGCTAATGTTAAATTCTATCTTAACATCTGTTAAATTAACGTCACCTCTTGGTCAAAAGATGGCGCCACTGTCAACTGTTTTTAAATATACATACATACATAGATGGCGCCGCTAATTTATTTAATTTGTTGTAGAAATATAAAACAATCTAAAAATAGTATTGGGGATTATAAAAAAAATCTCTGTACTTTATTTGATCAAATGTATTTCTTAAAAAGTGTCAGGGTCAAGAGCACCATCTTATGATATAAATTGTAGGTGACTGCGTGTCTGACATGTGGCTATATTTATATTGGAATGATCTATGACTAATTAATAGGCTGCACAAGCCGAAAATATGAAATATAAATAAATGCTTAAAAAGAGATACCTCTTTAAATAGTCTAATTTCTTATGTGAGCTATAGTTTATAACATTGTCGAGCCAGATATAGACAATATAATTATACGAATCCATATTACATATGTATGTTTATATTTATTTCGCAACCCTCAAGTTAAGTTAATAAATAAAATCAACTGGGAAAATCGTTCTTTCAAGTTAGTGGTATTAATTTTCACAGTAATACAATTTTTCAATATCCGTTTTTTTTAATCAAATAATACATTTTACTGTATATAATATAAGTTATTTCACACTTTGGTATAATTGTAAATACCAATAATTTAAATATCAATAATTTTTCTGTGTAGAAGTGAGCAAAAGTATATCAACAGTTTTATAAGCGAAATCAGATGCTAAGATTTGCGACTTAGACAAGACACACTCTCTCAGTATTTCAAAGCCTTGACAACCAAATCTTGTTTTTGGGGAATTCATTGGTTCGCAGCTCGACCGCAAGAATGTTGTGTCAACAATTAACCGAAAATGGCAATTAATTTTAAATGCTCTTCTGCCACTTAAAGGCATAATGCAATCAAACCTGTATATAGCTATACAAAAATAGCAGTCCGAATAAAACCAACGAAAGTGCAGTTAAACGTAAATCCGGTTCACGGGGCGACGACAAGAATTACAAGTTGAAGAAAACGATGCGTAGACTACAAAAGACATAAGACTTCAACAGCTGTAGCTGCAGCGATCGCGATTTCAATCTGGGCGAGAACTAGGTATAAAGGAACTCGGTTTTCAAGGCGGAGATTCAGGTAAAGGGGCCAGGCGAACTACATTGTCAATCCAAGAACGTCTTCTGGCGCGCGTTCCTAGTCGCTATCTACATATACATATATGCTCTTTCTCAATCTACGAAACCGTCACCTTCTCCAACGTAGTTGTTTGTAGTTAAATAAAATACTGTAATAAGATAATATTTATATTACCACTCTTAGATATTGTCTTATTAACAATCAACAATTTTATTTAATTAACTATTGTTGAATGTTGTTTTCAAATATTCTAATTTTAATTTAAAAAGTTGGATATCCCTAAGTTGGTCTTAAATAAACGTCCACATTTGGAATATATTAAACATTTTGAGTATCCAGCTATCCACTGTCTACCCGTTTCTCAGTCTCTCTGCCCAATTCTCATCTTTGTCCCAGCGACGTGCTCTGGTATAAATGAAGCCAAATTCGTTCCCAACCGTTTAGTCCGAAATATTTCATTAAAGCCAACGCACGGCGACGATCGCGCGTTCTGTTCCGATCGAGCATTTTAAGCGACCTACAGAAATAACTGTATGACACCGGTTAACAACAATAAAATTTATGCAAATTCACGGGTGTCGGTGTGTGAATGTGAATGAAATTGTGTGCGTAAGCGATTTCCGCTTCGATGCCGACAAAAATGTTTACAAACAAACAATTTGAAGCTTGTTTAGGCTGTCTGCGCAATAATTTGCTCCCCCGATTTTTTCACCCAATTGCTTGCGAAATATTTACTTGCGTTAACTTTTATGCTGCGCCGCCCAGCAAAAAAAAAAATGCTATCCAATTTAATGCCATCATTAAAAGTGCTATTAAAAAAATGTAGTTGCCAATTTTCGCAACCTTGAAAAATATATTTTAGAGGAAATTCTTTTCGAACGTTACAAAAAATGTATTCAAACTTGAAGTGCTTATTTAGATGTATATCGTTTTTTCCGTCGATTACCTTACTACGAGCTTCATATACTTACTATTTCGCCTTTTATGTAATTAATGTCAAAAGAGATCATTTGTAATTGAACATCCCGTAACGATGTAAACACCGAGATTTGGCCTTACCGTAGGCTAAGTCGTGATTGAACTCGGCTCAATCAAGGCGTGACTAAATTATCTAGGAAAAAAAACAAGAAGCACTTCATCATAAGCAGTTAATTATAGAGAATTGCCATTCCGTTTAATCTTTAGCTCCGTTTTCTTACATGAATATGAACTATTGTTATTTAATTCTTTAGAATTCCCTATTGGGAAATAAGCAAATGAGTTTTCTTTAAGACAATCGACAACCTTGAACTCTAAGCCAAGCTCATTCAACAATTGATTAAGCAGTCGTCAAATTGACATAATTCCAGTCAATGCAATCGAAGTGGAATTAAAATACGAATGGCAAATAAAACGTAGAATAGAAAAACATTCAACAACTGTGACAGGGACACGGCCAGAGACTTAAATAAAAATAAATAGTGGAATAGAGAAGCCCGCGTGCAGTTAACGAAGCATAGACAAAAACTGATTAAGTAAATTCAAAACACACCACAAAATTTAAGGTAGGCTACGGTTAGCACAATGTCAGTTAAATACTCTTACTTTTGTAAATTACAAGGCAAAGTATTTTCGTTACGTAAAATAAAAATTCCTATGTTGTCAACTTCCTGTTTTACAAAATTAAATTTATTCTGTTTTTGTATTTTTTATTTAAAATAAAATTAAAATCATTTACGTGGGGTTAGTAAGTTGTGGCCGAAACAAGACCTCTGGGATTGCACGACAAACCTTTCAAAAGGCGTACTGAACATTACTCATACGCTGGAACCAATACAGTGGTGTCCCCGAATATTGCACTCAGTCGGCCGGCACAGTAAAACGTTCTTCCCACAACACTTGGCTGCCCATTTAGAATATTTATAAGCCCAGCGACTAATTGAGTGAGAGTGAGAGAGCGGTCAGTATTCACTCACTCGGCTGCTCACTCACTCGCTTGCCGTTTATTTGCCGCTTCCTCAAATCATTTAAGCGCATTTCACGATTGTTTGTCTTTCCACACAGAACAGATTCGAATCTGGTTGTCGGTGTACATCAACGTTTTAAAAACTTTGAACCCTTAATAAACAAAAGTATCGAGAAAATTCTATAAACTTTAAGTGCGTGAAAAAAATTAAAAATAAAAATGAAGCTTTTGCTTGGTGTATTGGTGACCGTGTTGGCCCTCAGCGGAGTCTTTACGTTGCCAGGTGAGTTATAGCCCTTAACTAACCTGTTGTTAAAATCAAGTTTTAGTTCACTTCATAAATTAGCAACTAAAAACATTCAAGGAAAAACAATGTCACAACGAGTCAGAAAACAGGTAACGGTTGCATTTAAATAAGACTAAAAGGTCTGATGATAAATTTCATCAATTAATGTAGATATAAACAGTTTACAACTGAATGACAACAACTGATGAAAACTTTTCCTTTGGCACACAATCGGCTTTCTGTGTTGCGGCGACAACCTTTCAGACATTATTAACAAAGAAAATTGATAAGAAATGGGAATTCCCAGAATGTACTCATCCTTACACTTTTTATTCCTTTGTGATCTAGTAGAACTGTATTAAACTTATGCTTTGATCGTTGTTTAAAATGATAGAACATACTTCCTTTGACACACAATCGGCTGTCCACAGTGATTTACTTGTTTAATAGAAACGCAGACAACCTTTCTGACATTAAAAACAATAAAAATTGATAAGAAATGGGAATTCCGAGAACGCACTCTTCTGTACACTTTATATTTCTTGGTGATCTCATACTTTCTGGTAAAATCTGAAATATAATTTCCGTGAAACTGCGGAGAAGACAAGATTCTTTGATAACAATAATTAATATAAATATTTGTTTTCGATTCGTTTGTATTCTTTTCAACAATTTAAGGTATTCATAACATATTAAAATAAAAAAGATTTAAATCGACCCTTGGGCAGCTTGAAGTTTAAAGTCGATTCTCTTTGCCGGATAATGATGGCAGCGTCCTGATAACAAAGCGAGACACTTGACAATCAGCCAAATGCATCTTACAGATACACAAGTGACTACAAATGGCAAAATATCTGAGGCTCTCGGATGCGCGGCGCAGCATCAGAGATTGAGATTCTGGGAGCTGCGTCCTTATTGTCATCATCAGCGTTTGCTGTTCGCTGCCTTTGGCTGCCACTTGAATATATAAATTGCTGAAGAAGCTGCCAGTGAATTGCAGATGATGGGCGGCTAGTGGGAGTGGGCGTGGCAGTGGGTTGGCAGCTGCCACAGCCACTTGAAGTTGTCAAATTCTCTGCAGTTCAAATCATTTGCAAGGAATATGAAAATTTTATGCAACACTCGTAGATTCCCACTTTTGGGCAATTCTTTGCTTCTGATTTATCTTAGCAATGAGTCCTTAAAATTATATAACAAAATTTGGTAAATAGAGTGAAAAACATGACGATAGGCTTGCCAATTTTTTGTAGAGAGGGTATTTGTTATTTATCAATTAAAAATAAACTTTAAATACCATTATTCGGTCGGAAGAAACACAAGAATATAAATACAGAAATGTATTTTTTTTAATTTGTATACCTAAATAAAATTTTTACCAATTACTTTCTACTGTAATTAATTCTGCACCAAGTTGCATTATACAAACTTATCTCCATTCGCTCCAGTCAGATTAAATTGGAATGACTGGAAAACTGGATTGCACATATTATATATATTTTATTTATAGATTCTAAAATAGAGTTGGTATGTACACTTGTTTTGTTTACATATCTAGTGACATTGTGTTTCCCTTTATTGGCAATTTGCAGCTTTCACCAATATTTCAAAACAGTTGAACGAACTCACATGTGAATAATATGCACTCAAGTTCTGTCTTTTTACCCATTTAATTTCTTGGCCTGATTGCAAGTGAAATTCTTCAGCATTTTGCATTGCTTGTTTTCTTTTCTTATTTTTCTTAATTTTGCTTATATGGGAACGGATCATTTCAGTGTCCCATGGCCAAAAGAATTGGGTTAATTATGACCATAACTCGCGTTTAAGGCCTTTTTCCAGGGAATGTCTTTCTCTGGCCAGAACAAATTACATTTTCATGTTCGCATAAATCCCTTTTTGTTATTTTATTGCTGTGCGTATGTGGAACTATGCGTGCAGCAATAAAACTCAAAACAATTATGAAAATTATTCACAATTTATTATATTTTCCCATTGTTTGTTATTGTTGCTGAATGGCAGCGCGATTCGTTAAATTAGAGAGATATTTGTTTATGCAAATTTAAGCTAATTTTCGGACCTTTAAAAATATTTTGGTTAATTTGTATGATGAATAGCTAGATAATTAGCATTTTATGTCTGGCCTAAATCAGTGGCAATTATGGCGAAGTGAAAATTTTTAGAGTTCATTTATTGGAGCTAAGCTGATTATAGAAAATTGTTGACAAAACAGAGAAGCGACAATTAGTTGAGGCTTAATTAAAGTACCTTACTTAATTATTTTAAATTTTTGTAAACAAAAACAATTTCTTCTTATTGTTTCCTTGTTATATTTTGTGCAAATAATGTAATTAAAACTGCAAATTAAATGAATTTTTAGTCTTCACCACAGATTTAAGCCAACTCTATTATTTGCTTATTTAATGCCCACGTCAGACAAGGCTTATTAAATTTAAGCCTTCAAACCAAAGTCAATTAAACGAACAAATCGTTTGAATACAAAACACTTCTGTTAAATTAATAAAATGCGTAAAGTTTGGTATTTTAATTTAAACTGACTTAACTTGACTCTGATTTGTTTCTTTGGATTTTTGGACTTTTGCGGTGAGTAAAGGAAAAGAAACAAAACAAATTAAACTTGGTACAATCGAATTGAAAATGGAATTGAAACAAAAAGACTGTCGGGCAGCAGAAGCTCATTCAAATTAAATGAAATTGTTTTTTTGGAATTTGAGCTGCAAATTTTAATTGGTTGATTATTTTACAGAGCTATTTTCTCGGCCTTGCCCTTTTGCCTATTTCTACAACTACAAATATGTCTAGTTATTCATTCAGAGGAAATGAAATGCACAACTAGGCAATTTGTCCTATTTTTGGATTTCTCTTGAAAAATTTGCTATTATTCACTTGCATGTTTTTAAATATTTGTTTGTCAAATGAAAAAATTTTTTTTATTAAATAAAATAAAGTTAAATGGTTTATTTTAGTATTATAATTGGGCTATACAATATATTTTGTTTGAAATGTAATGTTTTTTAGCAGTTAAACTTAAAAATCACTTTTAATAATACAATATTCCTTTCAAAAGATAATAACATTTTACACGGCAGGGTAACTAGTGTTTCAGAGGGTTTTTTCTTTTTTTTATAACAACAACTGTTAGGCTTGCAGCGAAATGATTAATCACTTTCAATGGAATCTACACAAATCTACACAAAAACATTGTCGTTGTAACGTGACTGCGATTTAAAAGAGGGGGAAAAAGTAAATGAGAATTGAATGTTAGAATGCGTGTATTTCTGGGCAATAGTGTAACTGCGCCAGATGAGAAAAAAGTTAAAGCCAATGCTCCTGTTGAACCAAAACAAAAAAAAAAGGAAATTTTAAAGGCAATTTTAAGACCTTATTTTAAAACCGAACAACATATTTTGTTTTTTAATAAGAAACCTTAAATAAATGTAACCTTTTTTGTTACATATATGCAATATATGTTGACAGGAATTTATAATACAGTATTTGACACAGGCATAATATAATAAAGTCTTAAAACCGATAATTTATCATTGCAATATTATGAGAAATTTTGAATGTTAAATACTGTAAATGTATTATAAACAAATTAATATACATGAGCAATTCTCGCCGCATCTGGTGTGGACAATCGAGATGCTTATAATGAGATCTCACTTAACGAGTTATGAGTCATCAGCAGCTGTAAAAATAAACTAAAAGCCTAACTAAGCAGTTTTTTGTATAGTATTTGCCTAATCAACAATGAAATGCTAACAATACCTCGTGAAACAATAGGCCGGCGGAATTTCTAGACTCTGGACTCTCATTGGCTCTCCGACTAAATTGCAATTGTCAGATGTCACGAAGGGATTAAGTCCCCCCCTCTCGTCGCCGCCCCTGTCCAATTAGACGGTGACTCAAACTCTCGTCGTCTGTGATTGAGAACTACTGCAACAGCAGCTAAACCATCAGAATCAGCCACTTTGGCTCTGGTTCAATGTCACGTAATCGCTGCAAGGCCTCCCTGGTGGGTTACCCCACCCTCTGACGTCTCCCAGCCCACTCTGCCACGCCCTCTTTAACCTCTCACCTCTCAGCTTGCTGCCTCTTTATGTTAATTTATGTGCTGGCAAAATGTGCAAGCGCCTCTAATGCTCAGCCACGCATGGCGCCTACCCAAAATCAGAAATAAATTACAGAAGGCAGTCGACGGCAGAGGCAGTAGCTCATAGTCAGCACAAACTGGGGGAATTAACAGGGAACAATCGTACCGATACGGTTATGCGAAATAGTGGCTCAGTAACTAAATAGAAGGCAAGAAAATTTCTTCTTAAATGTTTGATTTCCTGAACTGGATTTTATAAGGTGCCAAAGGGTCATTCAAAAGTTTTCAACGCAGTCCATATATATATATATTTTTTATTGGCATCGCTAGTCGGTCAGAGTCAATCTGTACGTACGTCCATTTCATATTTCATTAGTATTTTAACATATATAATTTACCCAGTTTCATAAACATTTCTTATTAATCCATTTCTTTAAGTAATATTGTTGACATTTTTCATATCAAAGCTTTTTGAACAGAAGCCTACCCTTAAAAAATTAAAAAAAAATGTTTTTTTGAGAGATGGAAATGTTGAAAACAAATTTAGTAAATAAACTAGTTTCAAAACAACAAATATTAATACATTTTATAAATTTAAAAAACGGAAAAGATCATATTTATTCAAATGCTAAATATTTATCTATTGAACCAAAATTACTACCAAATCACAACTTGAGCAACCGTGTGAACATTAAAACTCACAGGAATAATTGTATATTATAATGAAATCCCGTACATTACTCAAATACTCAGCTGGCAGTTGCAATGTCAACGCAATGCAGCTTTAAACGATTTACCAAAAGGGGATTTGCGGATGGTGAACTAGGATTGAATGGGGCTGAACCTGAACGCTGTGGATTGAGAATTGGAATGGGATCGGAATCCCGGACCCGTCAGCAGCTGCTGCCATATGTCCTTCTGGTTTGGCGTAAATTTAATGAGAATCCTGTCAAATTAATTTCCGGTTATGATTAGATTTTCGTTAATAGCAATTTGCGGTTTTTGCAGCCAACCAAAAATATGCGAAATCCAACTGCCATTTCCCCTGTTCCTTCTTATCCAAAATTTAGCTTCCGCTCGCTCTTTGAATTGATTTGCATTTGCATGCGACATTGTCACCATGCAACATTTGCAATGATTGCACAAAGTGTCTGCTGCAATTATCTGCCCAACAAATTGTGCCCATCATCGTCATGAGTCTGTTGCACAATTGATTAACATTAAGTAGTTTAGTAATCGTAAATCATGTTCAGGGCCCCACCCACAAGCTACGCTGGCTTTGGCATTTATGAAAATTTTGCATAAACGGCAAAGCCCAAGAAACCGAGGAATCATTTGGAAGGCTGCCAAATTGCGGTGGGCGTAGAGAGGATTTGGGAATTATTTGAGCATATCAAGACTTAA